GGGGGGTGGAGGGAAGGAGGGATGGGGGTCAAGGCCGCTGCCCCTCTCCCTCCCTGAACCTGAGCTGCCTTCTTCGCCCAACCGGCCCGCGGAGCCTGGAGGCCTCGGGCCTACTAGGCCGCAGCCGGAGCAAAGCCTCCTGTCCCGTGGGGCCTGAGAGGGGCTCCTGGCCGTCCCCTCCCCGGGGAGACCCCCTCCAGGACCCCCTTGGGAAACAGAGGCCGGGTGCCGGCCGGGGAGGAGGGTTTGGCCCAGGGCCCGGAGGCCGCAGCAGCAGCAGCAGCAGCAGCAGGGACGAGAAGGGGCCTGGCCCGGCCCGGCCCGGCCCTGGCAGCAGGCCTGCTCAGGGCAGGTGGCCCTCAGAGGCGGGATGGCCGGAGACGGTGCCGGCCGGGGATTGTGGGACAGGGAGTCCCCAAAAGGCACGTCTCCCAGGGCGGCGGCTGTCTCAGGCACCCGGGTGCAGGACGCCTCCCTCCTTCCCTCCTTCCCTCCCAAAGGGGCAGCCCACACAGTCCAGCCCCCTTCCCCCTCCCTCACACACACACACACACACATTGAGGGATTCAGATTTTAAAGCGAAAGGCAGCGAGAATAAAACGTAGCATACAAGAACTGGACATCAGCGAGACGTACGTATAATATTGGCACCATTAAGGCGGACCTAAGACAGAGACTCGCTGTTATGTTTCAAGGTGAGCTTTTGTGGATCAGTTCCACTTCCTCACACGTTAGAGTGAGATCATATGGCTGGCATATCTCTCTAGTCTCACTCTAATGTCAGAGGAAGGGGACCCAGTGCAAGAAAGCACACATTAAAATATTACACTTGGTCTTGTATCGCACTTTTGTCTTTTGTTTTAATGTTTATTTTGGTTTTGTCTGATGTGCTTGCAAAGTCTAACACAGCAACTTCTTTAAAAGCTATAGATCTCCCTGCACCTTGACTTCTACCCTCAGTATGCCCTCCACTCCTTGATTCCCCAACGAGACAAATCCCCCAATAACCTAGGACTGAGCCCACTGAACAGAACAAGGCTCCTTCCCCACAGACACAGGTCACTGGACAGACTGGCAAAGGTTATGCAGACATGGACAGGAGCGCCTCGGACACCTGCTGCTGCTGCTGCTGCTGGCAAGTGCCCTTTGTGGTGCTGCAGAAGAGCTGAGGGTTCTCGGATACCTGCTGCTGCTGCTGCTGGCACCTTTGTGGTGCTGCAGAAGAGCTGAGGGTGCCCACCTCAGAGGCAGGGAGTGGGGGAGCCTCTTGGGCTGCAGACCCAAGCAGCTGGGGCTGCCCTGAGGGCAAGCCTGATGGCAGAATGGGACCTTCAATCTCTCACCATGCTTCAGGTCCATGTGATACTTGCCCCAAAGCAGCGTCTACCAAGGCAGAGAGCAGGCAGACAAGATTGCCATGGAAAGATCCCAGTGGTCATTGCCCACCAAGCCCTTCCCTGCAAAAACTCCACCACCACCACCATCACCACCACCACCACCCCGTGGTATGCAGAAAGACATGGGTTGAACCTCATCCCTGCCAGGAGCAGCTCCAGTTCAAGGAACCTGCAGCCATAGATTAAGGGGGAGAGATGGATGCCCGTCTGAGTGGAGACAGCAAACGGGACTGGCTGTGTCCAGCCAAAGGAAAGCCCCTGCCCTCCTCCAGGGACAGCCCACGCTGAGGGAGGCAGGGCAGGAGGCCAGACACAAGAGGGACAAAAGAGACCTTTGTGCACAGATGGACACCTGCCAAAACAAGAGAGTTGTGCAAAGAGGGAATGCATTTTCTTCTTGATCACTTTCTCTCCCTCTGGAAGTACCTCCCCCCCAATGCAGGCGTACACACACACACACACACACACACACACACACACACACACACACAAAAGATGGCTCTGGTAGCAAGGAACCCACCACCTCAAGTTCTGCATGGGGATGTCCAGACATCCCCTCCTCTAATGGCTCTGCAGTTGCCTCAGCCCCGTAGTTAGTTGGAGGGGGCAGAGGGGGAAGGACTCCTAATCTTTCCACCACAGCCACCCCACCTCTTTCCTCCCTTTCTCTGCCAGGAATGAACCACACCTTTGGTGAACTGTGCAAGTATTTGCATGCTTAGCCTTTACTTTTCATTCATGCACTCTGCAGATTTCTGACTAATTGTGTGCTGCTTTTCAGTCACACTTGAAATAAATGTTGTGCTCTGTGCCAAACATCTAAAAACAAATAACGGCTTTGTTTTTGATCATCCACGTGAGAGAAGGCAGGGGAGAGGGTGGGAGCCAGCCTGAGTTGGCCCAGGGAACTTCTCCATCCAGGAGTGGCCCCCGAGGCCCCAGCGCACTCCAGGACCCATTCCAGTTCACCAGGGGCCTTCTGGGGGCTTCCCATCCTAAGCACCCATAGATACAGGGTCCAATTTTGCCACCGTGCCCCAAAATGAGTCGTGGGAGTGATTGGGCAGCAGAGGCAAAGCACCTGGCATCCTGGGCGCAAGAGAGCTAGCTGCTCAGGCACACATCACATAGATAGATCACACAGGGATTGGTCTCAGTAGCCCAGACCTACTGGTCCCAAGCGAGGCTTCCCGCCCCTTCAGATGGTGGCTTCAGTGACGTCCTTTTATAATCCACCCCAACAATAAAGTTCAATGTAGTTAAAATGCCTTATTTAAATCCCATGAGAGACGCTTCTGTTTCCCCAAAAGCCTCTTTCTTCTCTGTTGCTAAATAACATCCCCCACGACGGATGGCATCCAGACCCACAGCTGCCTTTCCTCTGGGAGAATCCCAGCCTCCTTCCTGCTGACTGGCATCTTCCGTCTTCTGGCAAGGACAACCAGCTTTCCCCCTGACTCTCCAGTCTCTCTGGGGCAGTGGCCACGGTGCCCTGTGCCCCAAAGAACAAGCCAGGCCAGGAAAGTCCAAAGGTGAAGGCAGGAAGCAGCGGCAAGGTCACAAGACCGACAGTCCCACCGAAAGGGAACAACATTTAAACAGGAGGGTGCGAAACTGAACCCAGACCCCGCGTGGACCTCACGCTGGGGCTTTAACTGCTGGGGGCTCAGCTGTGAGCCTTCTGGCAACTAGTCTCTCTGGGAGGCTGAGCCTTCCCTCCAGGAGGCCCCTACTCTCGAGGAGTCCTTGTGAAGTCTTCCCCACAGGGGCTAGTTCTGGGAAGGAGGTGGGTGTGCGCATCGTCTCCTCCCTCTGAGCTGAGCGGGGCTTCCAGTCAGCCTCACTCTCAGAGGAATGGGGAGGAAACCCAGCCTCCTGCGTGGACTCTCCCTCTCGCCCGCCTGTCTTGAGGGGAGCAGCCTCAGGGAGCCCTGACGGCTGGGGCCTGGCCAGCTCCAGGGGCTGAGCAGGAAAGACGGGCGGGAGGGGCTGTCTCGGATACATACAGGGGAACTTGGCCCTGGTGCCCCTCCTGTTTCCAGAAGCAAGCACCACCCTGTGCCTCGTGGAAGGACCAGCCCCGAGTACAGTCACCCAGAGTATCTTCCTGTTTTGTTGCCATGGTCACACTTCTGCTGAATACGAAAACTTCCTGTTTGCTATCACAGCCACCTGCTCCACAGGAACAGGAGCTAATTAATCCAGGCGAATCCAGGAACATTGCCCTAAGAACAGGACCTAAGTTGCCCATCGTAAAGAAAGAAGCAAAGTGGGAGTTATGCTGGAGTTCACAACTCGCATGCTGCCTCCTGACTTGTGTGACTGGGAGGGGCCTTTATAGGCTGAGAGTGACTGTCCGTCCATCCAGCATCAACCAATAGTACTTCTCTCCTGTGTCTCAGAACTCTAAGAGAGACCCGCCTCTATGCCGAGAGAGCTTTTTTTCCTCAGAGAGTGTCTGCTGATGGGGGTTGGCAGGGCAACGTCTGTTAGTTTATTGTTAATATATTCACATTTGTAAGTCAAAGTAACATTTTCATTCTTCATACTAATGTCACAGGGTGAGTCATTGAGACTGTAAGTGCCAGTGAATGAGAGAGGTAGATTATCTGGGAACTAGTAGCTGTTATGATCTGCGAGCAATTCATTCAGAAATGTTTGAGATAATATACCAGCTTTATATTTCATCTCTGCAAATAAACAGTTGACTGCTGTCTGTTTCCCAAACAGAACAGAACAAAGAACCCTCGCTTTCTCTGGCGGCTTCCTCCGCAACCAAAGTAAGAGCTCCCGTCCCCTTCTGTGCCTGCTTGGGGCTGCAGGGCAGAGGGCAGAGGGCAGAGGGCAGAGGGCAGAGGGCAGGGCCACCAGCCACAGAGCCCAGGCCTCAAGAACAGCAAGGACGGCGGGTGTCTCCCAAACAGCCCAACCCTCCTCCGGCATGGCAAACAGGACACCAGGGGGAAACTGAGGCAGGTGACCTTTCAGTTGCGGACTACAGAGCCAGGGTGCGGAGGGGAGAGGAGGGCAGGATCCACACAAAAGCATTCCTTCGGAGCCACATTCTGCAGCTCACCACCAGGCAACCCACACTTATGTTGAGCAAAGGAAACGGAATCAAGTTTACAATAACTCTGGCTAGCCATTCATAGGAGGCCAGCCAGGAACTGGCAGAACCATTAATCACCCCCTGTGGTATATATAAAGGCTGGCCATGACTCGCTTGCTCTTGTTCTTAACTGTCTAACAAAAACAAAACAGAAATGAAAAGGAGAAAGCACTGCCTGCAGGGCACCTTAAAGACTAACAGATTTCTTTCTATGTGATTTCCGGGGTGGGGGGTGTCTCCCTCAGATACGACCCCGTTGCCTCCTGTCCAATCTCGCCATCTACTGGACAGAGGTGCTATTACATGCAAGGGAGCCCCATGGAAAGGAGCTGTCCAGGCCCTGCGGAGTGAAACCCGAACCACTCTGA